CGAAGACATCGTTAATGTACATCAAAAACCGAAGAGGCCCTAAATCACTTCTTTGGATCACTCCACTTGTGAGTTTTTTACTCGTGGAATGATTGTATAGTATTTCAAGTGCCTGAAGCCAACCAGAAATGTACCATGCTATGCAAGAACGTTAATAGCCAGGTAAACCAAAGAAATATACTTTCGATTGAAAATTTCCATTTGGTACCCGATCGAATGCTCTATGCAAATCAAGAAATATGATAATCAGACGCTCACCACGGTCAATGGAACGAGTAACTTAGTTTAGAAATTGTATTTGACATGTAATACATGACCGCGTCCTCAGAAATCCGTGCTGGGAAATGTTAAGCAAATTTCGGGACGATCGGAATTCGGCAATTTTGTCTTTTATAGCTCTTTCCATTGTCTTATGCAGAATGGAGGAATGGCTGATGGGTCGATTGCTCGTCTCAAATTGACGTGGGCCACTTTTATATCGTGGTGAAACCAACGCACATTTCCACACATCAGGAATAATCTCAGACGTCATGAATAAGATGAAATTATTTTAAAGCGGCTTTCAAATTTCAGCATAGCAGATGGTATTCCATCCGGATCAGGATGAAAGCTCTTTCGCATTGGTATTTCGGAGTTTTATGTCCGATGGATCAAACTCAACAGTAGAGATGTATTCTGCAGTTTGCGGGAATATTTATTGAAAGAAAAATATTGGTGCACAAGTAACAGAAAAAGTACGTCTAGCACATTCATCCCGAAGCAAAACTGGAAGCCAGCACCTTAATCCAAGAATCCGCGACGTCCGTTTTGGGTCATCAGCTGTCGTGAGTGGTGGAACTCCTTGCTTCATCTTCCGTAGACCATTGACGTGCTTATACAACAGTTTTTGATCAACGCTGATGGTTTCTGCCATGTTCTTCTGATGTGCGGCTTCGTCCTCTCTGAGCAGTTGAGTGCTGTGGTTCCGTTGGGCTACGTTGTTATCCCAGCTTTCTGATGTTGGGCATAATTTAGGCTATCGCCAAGCCGCATTGCATTCTGCCAGCAATTTTCGAGTTCTGCTCTTTACGTCAGTAACTGTTTCAGACCATTTGCAAACTTGTGTCGCTGAAGCGTCCCTAACCGGTCGATTGAATTTGTTTACGAACTCGAGCCAAGAGACATCCGGGGGTCTTCAGCAATGAATGACAACGTTGTGGCACTGACGAAGTGGGGAAATCGGTCGTAGCATGTGATGGTTCGCACCGTCTCACTGTCATTAACTCGGTATTCTGCATGGTATTGGAGGTTGAAACTAATACTTGCATGATCACTGCGAATTAAAGGGCAGTGTACAACCAAGGCAGCAAAAACTGGGAGGAGAGTGTTTGGACGGTACTTCGAGAGATCTGCACGATTACCACTTTTGTAAATAGGAGTGACTAGTCCAAGTTTCCACACTGTAAGAACCTACATTTCGTCTAGACAACGTTGAAAGAACCGAACAAATGGTACAGCAAGGTTCATGGTCTCTGTCTTCAATGCCTTCGGTTTAACTTCATCAACACCAGGTGAGTTGTGCATGCAGGCAGGCTGGAGACCAATCAGTACCGGTCAATGCAAACTGATAACAGGTGGACGAAACTGTTAGGTCTCGAACGGCCTGCTCTAAGGAAAATCGCGTTGTCTGAAAATCAAGTCGAGTTGGCGCCAATGATTCAGGCCAAATCTTGTAACTTGGATGGAAAAACAGAATTTCACGCAGACCAGAGTCAAGTGCGCACCGAAACGAAACAAATTGACTTGTTCGGAAAGGTAAGTGCGCGATCTCCCACAAGAAACCGTGTGCCTTGCATTAGAACAGTCTTAGTTACAAGCAGACTAGTGTGTTTTTCCATGTTGCAGAACATTGTTACTATCGCTTGTTTCACGCCACTCACACGTCCCTTGTTTCTTTGAGACATATAAAATCAAACGAGCACACTTCCGTGATTTGAACTGTATCGGCGTGTTTTCATCCCAACGCGGCCTGTTCTGTGTTTCGCCAATATATCACTCGTCCGTGGTTTGTCTTTTGAATCGCGTGGCACAATCTAGGAAGCCGCTAAGTCGAGCCCTGAAGACACAACAGATTTCTGGCGACGGAGGTGGGATACAATGGCCATTTCTTTTGAGCAGATGCAACAGCTCCTCCATCAACAGCAGGTGCAGTTCGAGAGATCCCAGAAGCAGCTCTTCGACTTATTCGCACAGAAGTTGAACATTAAACCAGAATCCCAAGATGTTGGCGCACGGATCTCAGTAGACGCAGTTACAGCATCCATTACTGAGTTCATTTTTGATGAATCAAACGGAGTAACTTTTGAATCCTGGTTTAAGAAATATGAAGATATTTTCCGCATTGAATTGGAGGCACAAGATGATGCATGGAGAGTTCGGTTGTTGTTGCGCAAACTCGGTGCAGTCGAACATGAACGGTACACGAATTTTGTGCTGCCAAAGAACCCCAGAGACTTTCACTTTGATGAGACGGTGACAATACTGAAGGCTATTTTCGGTGAGCACGCATCCTTGTTCAGTATTCGTTATCATTGTTTTAAGTTGGTCAAAAGTGATATTCATGACTATATAACACATGCTGCAGTTGTGAATAGAGAATGTGAACGTTTCAAACTGGGTATGATGACACCTGATCAGTTCAAAAGCCTCATATTTGTTTGTAGTCTTCAGTCCCACGCCGATGCTGACGTACGCACACGTATCCTGCATAAATTAGAACAGGAACCTCATATGACATTACAGGACATTGCCGCTGAGTGCCAGAGACTGATTAATCTGAAACACGATACCAAAATGATTGAAAATGCTCATCCTAGGAATGAACCACAAATTTATCACACAGCTGTTCGCGGTAAAAATGTGAGCCATAGAGTCCCCAACCAAAAACCCCCAACTTCCTGTTGGAACTGTGGTGGATAGCATTTCGTACGTTTCTGTTCCTATAGGAAACATCTCTGTCAGAAGTGCAAACGTCTTGGTCATAAAGAATCACATTGTCACACCACCTACAATTCCAGGACTGTGTCTGGCCCTAAATTGCACACGAACTCTAAATCCAAAAAGACCTTTAACGGTGCAAAGACAAAAGTAGTTCTCGCGACCTGTGGCACAGAATTTGCCGGCAAGCGAAAGTACTTCACCGTTGAAATTAATAATGTTCCCATATCGTTGCAACTAGATACAGCATCGGACATTACCATAATTTCTCGATCATCATGGATGAGACTCGGGAGACCACCACTCAGGCATACAAATTTGACCGCCCAAAATGCATCCGGTGAACCACTGAGGTTAGATGGTGAGTTTACATGTGAAGTTAAGTTTAAGGATCTGAAGCTCTGTGGAACCATCTACCTAATTTCTTCTGTTGACATTAATCTTCTTGGGATTGATTGGATCGAAAGGTTGAATTTGTTTAATGTGCCATTGAATCATGTGTGTTCCGAAACGAACGTCATGGTGCATCATACAACCGTGCCATCTCATCCACGTCAAAATATTGCGGACGCTCCGTCCAGATTAATCGATACTAGTCGGCGTGAGCCGGAGGATGCCGTCATTGCTTCAATCACAACCGACACGGATATCAGCCACATGATACAGGATGCCGTGAGTACTTTACCACTAACTGCAAGAATGGTTCAGGCAGCCACAAGTCGGGACCCATTGCTACAGAAAGTCTTGACTTATACAAGACAAGGTTGGCCAAAGCAGTGCCCTGACAAATCGCTTGCACAGTTTTTCACACGACGTGATGCTCTGTCTGTAGTCGATGCATGTCTCTTTTTCGCAGATCGCCTTGTCATTCCCGAAGTACTCAGGCAACGAGTTCTGAGGCAATTGCATAAAGGTCACCCAGGAATCGCCCGAATGAAAGCACTCGCGCGCAGTTACGTGTTTTGGCCCTCAATGGATAGCCAAATAGAAGACATTGGACGATCCTGTTCTAAATGCTGCAGTGTTTCCAAGTTACCAGTGCGCACAACATTACAATCTTGGCCGCGTCCCGAATCACCCTGGTCGCGAATACATGTGGACTTTGTGGGACCAGTTGAGGGAACTTTCTTTCTCGTCATTGTCGATGCATACAGTAAGTGGCCTGAAGTTACTGTGATGCGAAATACGTCCTCAAACAGCACAATTCTTGCACTGAAGCGTCTTTTCAGTCAGTATGGGCTGCCACAAACGATCGTATCAGACAATGGATCACAGTTCACTTCTTATCAATTCGCTGATTTTTGTGCACAAAATGGAATACAGCATATGCGGACTGCACCTTATCATCCCCAATCCAATGGTCAAGCAGAAAGGTATGTTGATACCCTGAAACGTGCTTTGTTAAAATCGAAGGGGGAGGGGACCCTGGATGAAAGGCTGGAAAATTTCCTGCTAAATTATCGAGTTACTCCGAATCCAAATGCAAGAGATGGAAAGTCACCCGCTGAAGCACTCATGGGTCGAAGATTGAGGACCACACTAGATTTGATGACTCCAAAACGCCCACCGATACATCATACGAATTCACTAATGGAAACTTACTACAACAAGCGACATGGAGCACTGCACAGAAACTTTAGAATTGGTGACGCAGTGTTTGCTGCCTCTCATCAAGGGCGTCAAATCAGTTGGATACCAGGTCAATAGTAGGACGACGCGGAAAAGTAATGTACGATGTTCATGTTGGCAGACAGCTGTGGGTTCGCCATGCGAACCAACTACGACCGCGGATTACAAGGATACAAGAGGCGCGCCATTCCGAAGGATTTGCGTTCAATGAATTGTTGTACCCTTCGCAGCCAAGCACCTCGATTAGACAGGATACACAACCCATGGAACGAGCTGAAAATGAAAACCAACTAAGGCCAACACGGAGAAGAAGATGCGTGCAGCCCATGCAAGTAGACCCCCGAAGGAAGACATATACCAATACCGGCTCAACCATTTCAACAAGGGGGAGGTGTTAGGTCTCGAACGGCCTGCTCTAAGGAAAATCGCGTTGTCTGAAAAGCAAGTCGAGTTGGCGCCAATGATTCAGGCCAAATCTTGTAACTTGGATGGAAAAACAGAATTTCACACAGACCAAAGTCAAATGCGCACCGAAACGAAACAAATTGACTTGTTCGGAAAGGTAAGTGCGCGATTTCCCACAAGGAACCGTGTGCCTTGCATTAGAACAGTCTTAGTTACAAGCAGACTAGTGTGTTTTTCCATGTTGCAGAACATTGTTACTATCGCTTGTTTCACGCCACTCACACGTCCCTTGTTTCTGTGAGACATATAAAATCAAACGAGCACACTTCGTGATTTGAACTGTATCGGTGTGTTTTCATCCCAACGCGGCCTGTTCTGTGTTTCGCCAATATACCACTCGTCCAGTGGTTTGTCTTTTGAATCGCGTGGCACAATCTAGGAAGCCGCTAAGTCGAGCCCTGAAGACACAACAGATTTCTGGCGACGGAGGTGTTGAACAATGGCCATTTCTTTTGAGCAGATGCAGCAGCTCCTCCATCAACAGCAGGTGCAGTTCGAGAGATCCCAGAACCAGCTGTTCGACTTATTCGCACAGAAATTGAACATTAAATCAGAATCCCAAGATGCTGGCGCACGGATCTCAGTAGACGCAGTTACAGCATCCATTACGGAGTTCATTTTTGATGAATCAAACGGAGTAACTTTTGAATCCTGGTTTAAGTAATATGAAGATATCTTCCGCATTGAATTGGAGGCACAAGATGATGCATGGAAAGTTCGGTTGTTGTTGCGCAAACTCGGTGCAGTCGAACATGAACGGCACACGAATTTTGTGCTGCCAAAGAACCCCAGAGACTTTCGCTTCGACGAGACGGTGACAATACTGAAGACTATTTTCGGTGAGCAAGCATCCTTGTTCAGTATTCGTTATCATTGTTTTAAGTTGGTCAAAAGTGATATTCATGACTATATAACACATGCTGCAGTTGTGAAAAGAGAAGGTGAACGTTTCAAACTGGGTATGATGACACCTGATCAGTTCAAAAGCCTCATATTTGTTTGTAGTCTTCAGTCCCACGCCGATGCTGACGTACGCACACGTATCCTGCATAAGTTAGAACAGGAACCTCATATGACATTACAGGACATTGCTGCCGAATGCCAGAGACTGATTAATCTAAAGCACGATACCAAAATGATTGAAAATGCTCATTTCAGGAATGAACCGCAAATTTATCATACAGCTGTTCGCGGTAAAAATGTGAGCCATAGAGTCCCCAACCAGAAACCCCCAACTTCCTGTTGGAACTGTGGTGGATGGCATTTCGTACGTTTCTGTTCCTATAGGAAACATCTCTGTCAGAAGTGCAAACGCCTTGGTCATAAAGAATCACATTGTCACACCACCTACAATTCCAGGACTGTGTCTGGCCCTAAATTGCACACGAACTCTAAATCCAAAAAGACCTTTAACGGTGCAAAGACAAAAGTAGTTCTCGCGACCTGTCACACAGAATTTGCCGGCAAGCGAAAGTACCTCACCGTTGAAATTAATAATGTTCCCATATCGTTGCAACTAGATACGGCATCGGACATTACCATAATTTCTCGATCATCATGGATGAGACTCGGTAGACCACCACTCAGGCACACAAATTTGACCGCCCAAAATGCATCCGGTGAACCACTGAGGTTAGATGGTGAGTTTACATGTGAAGTTAAGTTTAAGGATCTGAAGCTCTGTGGAACCATCTACCTAATTTCTTCTGTTGACATTAATCTTCTTGGGATTGATTGGATCGAAAGGTTGAATTTGTTTAATGTGCCATTGAATCATGTGTGTTCCGAAACGAACGTTATAGTGCATCATACAACCGTGCCATCTCATCCACGTCAAAATATTGCGGACGCTCTGTCCAGATTAATCGATACTAGTCGACGTGAGCCGGAGGATGCCGTCATTGCTTCAATCACAACCGACACGGATATCAGCCACATGATACAGGATGCCGTGAGTACTTTACCACTAACTGCAAGAATGGTTCAGGCAGCCACAAGTCGGGACACATTGCTACAGAAAGTCTTGACTTATACAAGACAAGGTTGGCCAAAGCAGTGCCCTGACAAATCGCTTGCACAGTTTTTCACACGACGTGATGCTCTGTCTGAAGTCGATGCCTGTCTCTTTTTCGCAGATCGCCTTGTCATTCCCGAAGTACTCAGGCAACGAGTTCTGAGGCAATTGCATAAAGGTCACCCAGGAATCGCCCGAATGAAAGCACTCGCGCGCAGTTACGTGTTTTGGCCCTCAATGGATAGTCAAATAGAAGACATTGGACGATCCTGTTCTAAATGCTGCAGTGTTTCCAAGTTACCAGTGCGCACAACATTACAATCTTGGCCGCGTCCCGAATCACCCTGGTCGCGAATACATGTGGACTTTGTGGGACCAGTTGAGGGAACTTTCTTTCTCGTCATTGTCGATGCATACAGTAAGTGGCCTGAAGTTACTGTGATGCGAAATACGTCCTCAAACAGCACAATTCTTGCACTGAAGCGTCTTTTCAGTCAGTATGGGCTGCCACAAACGATCGTATCAGACAATGGATCACAGTTCACTTCTTATCAATTCGCTGATTTTTGTGCACAAAATGGAATACAGCATATGCGGACTGCACCTTATCATCCCCAATCCAATGGCCAAGCAGAAAGGTATGTTGATACCCTGAAACGTGCTTTGTTAAAATCGAAGGGGGAGGGGACCCTGGATGAAAGGCTGGAAAATTTCCTGCTAAATTATCGAGTTACTCCGAATCCAAATGCACCAGATGGAAAGTCACCCGCTGAAGCACTCATGGGTCGAAGACTGAGGACCACACTAGATTTGATGACTCCAAAACGCCCACCGATACATCATACGAATTCACTAATGGAAACTCACTACAACAAGCGACATGGAGCACGGCACAGAAACTTTAGAATTGGTGACGCAGTGTTTGCTGCCTTTCATCAAGGGCGTCAAATCAGTTGGATACCAGGTCAAGTAGTAGGACGACGCGGAAAAGTAATGTACGATGTTCGTGTTGGCAGACAGCTGTGGGTTCGCCATGCGAACCAACTACGACCGCGGATTACAAGGATACAAGAGGCGCGCCATTCCGAAGGATTTGCGTTCAATGAATTGTTGTACCCTTCGCAGCCAAGCACCTCGATTAGACAGGATACACAACCCATGGAACGAGCTGAAAATGAAAAACAACTAAGGCCAACACGGAGAAGAAGATGCGTGCAGCCCATGCAAGTAGACCCCCGAAGGAAGACATATACCAATACCGGCTCAACTATTTCAACAAGGGGGAGGTGTTAGGTCTCGAACGGCCTGCTCTAAGGAAAATCGCGTTGTCTGAAAATCAAGTCGAGTTGGCGCCAATGATTCAGGCCAAATCTTGTAACTTGGATGGAAAAACAGAATTTCACACAGACCAAAGTCAAATGCGCACCGAAACGAAACAAATTGACTTGTTCGGAAAGGTAAGTGCGCGATTTCCCACAAGGAACCGTGTGCCTTGCATTAGAACAGTCTTAGTTACAAGCAGACTAGTGTGTTTTTCCATGTTGCAGAACATTGTTACTATCGCTTGTTTCACGCCACTCACACGTCCCTTGTTTCTTTGAGACATATAAAATCAAACGAGCACACTTCCGTGATTTGAACTGTATCGGTGTGTTTTCATCCCAACGCGGCCTGTTCTGTGTTTCGCCAATATACCACTCGTCCAGTGGTTTGTCTTTTGAATCGCGTGGCACAATCTAGGAAGCCGCTAAGTCGAGCCCTGAAGACACAACAGAAACAGAGAGAGGAATCGGGATCGGCTGAAAGGCACAAAGCACAATTTTGTCACGTCAAAAAAGTGGATTATCTGGAATATCCACCAGTCAGATCTGGTACGTCAAAGCATGACTCAAGAAAGAAAAAGGAAATGGAGTAGTAGGAGATTAAAGCAAGCAGAACGTACGGGACAATGAACACAATCACACCGCGGAAGGCACAAACTTTGGAAAGTAATCGAGCTGAAGAGGTTGAGGCCATACAGTGCCCTTAAAGTATGCACAGTATAAGATACTCAGTGCCTTACAAATAACCGCGTTGATCACTGCCCAAACTTTGTACCATATAAGGAAGTCCAGCCTACATGGTACATCCGTCCTTCGATCCAAATCTCTGCTCATGTCCAATCAGACTGGCACAGCCCAACCAATCACCCGTGACTCATCCGCCAATGAACTATCTAACCTAACTCCGATGGTAAACTTAGCAATCCTGCGACCTCGTTGTAGAAATACTATCTGTCCTAACCACGCCCTAGTATTCTAGCTACCTGCTGAGAGAAGTACAGGGTATAACACTGTTACGACACTTGTATGACTATACCAAACCCCTAACACTACTACTACTACTACTACCGGCACTATTCCAAATGTTATTAAGGGTACTATTTATATTTGATAATGGAGGTGCCTGCCATAATCTACTGAGGGCGCTGTCGCCAGACAACCAGTGTGTATGTCAGGATGCTTGCTAAACTAATAGCTGACTAGCCGAACAAACCCCACGTGGTGCCACTTGGGTGGTTTGGGTTACTCCCTTTCCAGCGAATCGTTCGTCGGCAGTGTTCCAGGATGTGACGGGTTTTCGCCTGGCGAGCGTTCTCAGCATAAAAAGCCAGGAAGGTACTTTAACAGCACTGTGACATCGCGGACGTGACTCGCCAATAAATAAAGTCACTGCCCCTTGCTTCATCCTGGCGAAGTATTGTATTCCAGCAACGTTATGCTGTAATTCTGGGGAGAATTGGGCCGCTGTTTGACAAAGGAACAAACGAAAGGCGTATGAACTGAGCAATCAGTCACCGGCTCCCAATGGGCGCGATTCCCTGAATTCGCTCCACTGCCTTGCGGGCAAGCTATTCAGCAAAAACTCGGGGTGGTGTACCCTAAGTCAACACTCGACTTCGGCTTGGGCAACCGGGTAGTATCTAGCCCTCTGACGAAATCATGGACATTGATGTGTTGTGTTGTGTTTTCTTTTATTATTTCTGTACGTTCTTTTGGATTCCATGGTTTCTGCTCGCTTTATGTCTATTCATAGACCTTAGCATGTATATATATATATATATATATATATATATATATATGACTGGCGGAATCCGGTTTCGGATTTGCCTGTCACTGTGGCTAGCCACAGGACGCCTGCGCCTACAGAGGGACCATGGGTGGCTTGCGCTGCACCACCCACCTCTCCAACAACACACCCCATATCCAGTGTAAACTCGAAGGAATAAGACCGAGAGGCATGTGGATGGGAGCCACGTTTCATCAACGGCGCCGGCCCACACTCCTTCACAGGCAAACACAAGCACGTTGTATTTGGGGAATCAACCGCACACAAGGCGGTGCCTGGACCGTAGTCCGCTCCACTCTGAGTGCATGGAACCGCTCTTTGAGCCTAACGCGGTCTCAATGACCGTGCACCCGGTCCCCTCCAGCAACGACCAACTGTCTCCTGGAGCCAGAATGAAGGAGGTAGTGGGAAATGGACAGGTAGGCACCTTGTCAACATGCACATCAAGCGCAGCCACACCGGGGATATCAAGCAACAGCCAATCACTTGAAACGACAAGATGAAATAAATAAATAAAAATAAACTAAAATAAAACAGAACAGAGCGCTAGACTTCTGCATCAAACGACGACAAGCGAAGAGTCACACGCGCGTACACTACGAGGTGAAAATCAGAGATCCATTTCAATGGTCATGTGCTCGTCGAACAATCCAAACTCCGACTAGCAGCTATGAGATCGATCACTCCACACTCACTGATGCTCCGTAGGCGCCACTTAGCTAAATACAAGCGCACTGACGATGTCACCTCGAGTGGTGACGAAACGTTTGTAGTCAACCGGCCAAGCTCAGCGAACACTCAGACAACCAACTGAACAAACTTAGCTACCAACATTTGCTTCTATATCGCGAAATAAAATAAATCGAATAATGCATACAGATACGGTGGCATAACTCTTCGCTAAATTAGCATATGAAGTAAGTTGGTTAGCAACGAATCCGCGATAAGTAAAAAATGTCCACAAGCTAGTTAAAAATGCTACAAACGCAACAAAGTTACCGAAGATAAGCGCAATCAGCGTAAGCAACGTGGCCAGTTAATAGAAGATTATCCAGGTAGTCAGAACAAACCAAATAAAGTGCAATGAAATTTATCCAGCTTGAAAAGACCTGGTTTAAGTGTAAGTTGGTTTAGCCCAACTGCAGTGAAGAAGCATCAAGAATGCAACATCAGCCTCAGCATGGGACATATATATATATATATATATATATATATATATATATATATATATATATATATATATAAACTATCTATTTATTTCTTTATTCTGGTCACTAAGGTTTAATAAGATTGGATGCGATCGATTTAGAGTATGGACTTTGTTGCAGTGGCGCGAGAAATACCGATCACAGGGAATACTGGAAAGTCAGAAGGAGCGAGGATCGGAACAGGCACCGACGTAATGGACGAAATCCGACAGCGCACCGCAAGACCAACAGAATGAGCGGGGAGCGGATCGCGGCAATGGACCTGAGCCAAGGAGAACAGAGAAGATATTTGTCGAAGAGGCAACAAATCAGACGGATACGCCTTTGTCCATGCATCCAGTAGTAACCCCAAGCTCGTTAAGACAACCACATGGAGCCTACAATCTGACATGTCGTCGCGCCCGGCTTTCGACTAACTCATGCCGGAAAATACTATACCGGCGTGTCCTGTTACAGGGGTGGATAAGAACCTACTGAAAAGTAGAGGGCGGATGAATTCGTAAACTTAGTGTGCACTCATTTATAAGCAATAACAAAGACAAAAAGCAAAATCAAGAGGGCCGAAAAAACTTCGCCGGATCTAGGACAGTCTTTAAATCGCAAACAGTAATTTGGTGGAGGCAACGAACGAATGAAACTACCATTTATGTCAGCAAACCAACGAGCACGGGTCATTCAGCTGGCCTACGCTAATGCTGATATGGTAGCGCGGCGAAAACCAGTGATTACCCATGGATCGGAACAACAACCAAAATGGGATTGTAGCGAATTAACAACGGGCGCAAAGGATGCAACGAGACAAGGCTCTGCGAGCTTTGCGGAGTGATCCCACAGAGGATCACGGGCGGCGTCTGGTAACGTGCCTTCGCTCAGAACAATGGAGGAGGTATTCGTCGAGAACGTAATAATTCATACAAACAGGTCTCTAGCGAAGCCCACAGGAGAGGACGCGGTTCGAATGATGAGGCCACGGAAGAGCAAATCACGTGCTTTCGAACTACTCATGACCGGTCAGAATCAGATGTAGCGAAGCGCGTTCTTGTAGAAATGCAAGCTCTGCCCCCCTCCGGTGAGTCCTTTTAGCCACAATATGGGTTTTGAAAGAGTATTTGGACTGCTACAGAGAAACGTGTTTTGGCCATCCATGAGAAAGGACGTGGCTTTATACATTCCGAGTTGCTCATGCTGCCAAACAAGCAGCGGGAAGAATGCACCGTGACCACTGCTGCGATCTATTTAAGTCGACGAATCGTTGCAGTGTTGGGGCTTGGACTCCTTTGACCAGTACCGGCGTATCACGCAGAAAAGAATTACATCCTAGTGATGATTGACCATCTCACTCGATGGGTAGAAGCCGATCAAGGATCAAACAGGCGAACCCGTATCACAGGTAATCGAATTCAACGTACCAGCAAGGTATAGAATACCAAAATACGTTATTACTGACGAAGGACCTTACTTTGAATCCAAGGCGTTCTAAGTGAGGTTGAACAATTGGGGGATCCAGACACAACGTACGTCACCGTACTGCGGCGCAAAATGTGACGTAGTGATTCCCCATGTAATTTGCGTTGTGGATCGGAAAAAGGGCCGAAATATGCGCACGTGCGTGATATCGCGGTTAATTTAGTCACGAGCAATAAAGCTTGTGTCTTTTTGCCTCTTCTTTCTTGCTTTATAAGATGTTCGGTGACTGCGCTTCGACAACAGGCAACTGTTTGGATATCGTTTCCTATATTTTTATCGCGTGCAACAATCTTCCTCCTTGCTCACGGCGGTGGGAGATGCTCACGTGCATCACCGTGTACAAAGTTAGGTAGGAATTCTCACAAACTGACTTGTTCCCTCACAGTTTCCTCATACTATGTGATACTGAATCCTGCATATAGTTATAATTAAAAAACAGAGATGGACAAGTAGAGAGTGCTGATAGCCTGTTAGGCATAAGAAAAATACCCCGACCATCTTCTAGCTAACAGGTATCTCAGCCACTATAAGCGTTCAGTTGTTGTACGTGATATTTTACCGGAAATGTGACCCCGTCTACATCTACATCATACCTTGATTATTTGGAGCAATTAGAAGGGAATTGGCTCCACCGCTGGTCACATAATATGACATTATGTTTGCCAAGCCGGATGTTAAAAGCACCGACGTCTTGATGTTCGTTCTTCTGACACAGAATGCACTTCAAGATCATGTGGATGTCAACTAACGGTCACTAGCTTAACAAGTATGAGAAAGATTGTTACTTTCCTTGACGGTAGTGTCAAATCGGCCAAAACTTCTGTCTTGTAGAAACCTATGTACAAGAATAAAAGTGAGAT